CTTCGCGGTCTTCCCTCCTCATGGTCGGTCCCTCCACTCGGTCACCCTTTGCGGTCGGCCCTCCTCATGGTCGGTCTCTCGACTCGGCCACCCTTCGCGGTCGGCCCTCCTCATGGTCAGCCCCTTCACTAGGCCACCCTTTGCGGTCAGCCCTCCTCATGGTCGGCCCCTCCACTCGACCACCCTTTGCGGTCGGCCCTCCTCATGGTCGACCCCTCCACTCGGCCACCCTTTGTGGTCGGCCCTCCTCATAGTCGGTCCCTCCACTCGGCTACCCTTTGCGGTCGGCCCTCCTCATGGTCGGTCCCTCCGCTCAGCCACCTTTCGTAGTCGGCCCTCCTCATGGTCGGCCCCTCCACTCGGCCACCCTTCGCGGTCGGCCCTCCTCATGGTCGGTCCCTCCACTCGACCACCCTTCGCAGTCGACCCTTCTTATAGTCGGCTACCCCTCTCGATCGGCCTTCATCCTACCGGTCTCTCATAACCCTCATTTTATTCATTATTCCCTTCGTTGGACTAAAGCTATACTTGGGAATGTGGGACTACTGACATGGGCAAGCCCATAAAGATTATAGCCCACCATTTAGGGCCCAGTACATAACTCAAATACTAAAGCCCAGCATTGTTGAAGCCCCACGTAGCAATAAGAACCAATGACAACAAGACACATGACAAGAGAAGGGTAGGCCACATAAGCAGACAAAGATCTGCAAAGTTATTGTCACTGCATATCGCCATTAATGAAACCCCTTACAACATTTATTGCGATAACCCCTCTTCGTCGGGACAAAACGCCTTCACCATGAACAAGGTAAGCTAGAGCATAGACTTTCGGCTAAGGTGACAGGTCGGAAGGGACAACGAAATGATTACCAGAGGATATAAGCAGAAGTCGAAGACAAGAAAAAAGTTAAGCTTTTTATCTCTAATCTATCTCTACATTCCACTTCTCTTTCTAACTTACTCATTGAAGGGTTCGCTGGGGGACTGCCCGTTCCCTGTTGAACTCTTGTACAGGTTCCTCTGTGGGCTTGATCACTCGGACACCGATTTGGAAAGTGTCGATCAGTCTCACCCGTTCCATCTAGAACCCGCTGTATCATCATCAACCAATCATTTTTTTGATATATTACTAAGTTTATAAAATGAATCTAAAAACTAAATTTGTATATCATTTTTTTATATTTTATTCTCTTCCAACCTAGGGTTAACATGACAACAAAAGTCTCGTATATTAGGGTTTTTTATTTTTATTTTTTTAAAGTAGACTTTTTTCATTATTTTCAACTGTTGTAGCTCTCTCTAATTGGAGAGAAGACCAGTTCTATCCAGTTGAGTTTGTCGGTCTCCCCATAAACTTCATTTTGAATCAAATTATTCATCTTGTACACTTTTTAGTTAGATAAATATGTGATTATAATTATCACATTAATCTAATTTTTGGGTAAATAATATAAACACAAAGGTTTCGTTTAGCTTTTTATCTTTTTTGGCTATTTTAGTCTACGTTAAAAAGTTTAGTTTGGGAAAGGCTTGTTGGCTTTTTGATTTTTTTGACTTTTTTGAAAAGTGTAATGATTATGGGTTGAATGTCATGTTTTGTTTGTTGTAACTAAAATAACTTATTTTATCTTTTGTAATTAAAATAGTAAAAAAAAAAACTCCCAAACCATCTTCCCAAACGGTCTAAAAGACTTCAAAATAAAATGATCAGAATGATAAAAGTGAGACTGATGATAAAGGTCCAAGGGCCCGACTAGAAAGACCCGGACTTCTCTGCAAGACCGATCCATTCCTAAAGCTCTCTGAGTCCAAGATTCGAAAGTAGCCCAAAATCCAGTATCTGTATCTTTGCTAATGATGTATTGAGGAAAAAAATAAAATAAAAAATTTCAATAGAATTTCACTTTGTAACAAAATAAATTTTGAATTTTATTTTAATTTATTTTTAATTTAAATTATTTGTCTATTTTCTTTAAGTAAAACTAACCAAAAAAATAATATTTTATTTATTAAACTCAATGTAAGTGCATAAAAATTTTCTACAAAAACATTTTCTATTGAATTTAGTGACTAAAATATATTTATTTCGTTCATTTTAATTAATAAAAATAGACAAATGATTTATATTAAAAATAAATCAAAAAAATTTAATTTAAATTGACAAAATTAGAAATTAGGAATTTATTTTGTTACAATGGTCAAATATATATATATATATATTTTGTAATTTTTCCTAATGAATTTGAATAGATAATTTAAATGGAGATTTAGAAAGGAGAAAAAGAAAAAGTGAGATAAATATAAATTAATTTTTTTAATTTTAAGTTTAAAATTTTACTCAAATTCATAATCTAATTTAGTCTAAGGTTTCGCTTGGGAACATACTATTTTAATAATTTTTAGTTTTTTGGCTAAAATATAAGATAACAAATTAATATATTTGAAATAACTTTTTAATTTTTTATAAAAAAAAATATGTGAAAAAACAAAAAAAAAAATTAACTTTTTATTATAAATTATTAATTTTTGAATTACCAAAGGAGACCTAAATATTACCGCCACCTACATATAAATGACAAGCTGCGAGGCGACCGTCTTTCATGATTCAGTGAAGGAAAATATTAATACAATAAAGGACGAATTACACCGACAGTTTGTATAGTTTGTAATTTGTGTTATTTTGATATTTAATTTTTTAATTATGATACATTTTATTATAAATTTTAAATTTTGTTTCAAATAAGGACATTTGAAGATATCATTACTTAATTTTAAGAGTAAAATCATTAATTTGATAAAATATAAACTAATTTGACAAAAATAAATTTAAAAAATATATATTTTTAAATTTTTTAAAAATATTTCCACTCACCAAAGATAAAATTATGTAAAATTGACAAATCTTTTAAATATTTATTTATTTATTTATTTTACCAAATTAATTTTTATTATATATTTGAATGATAATCATGTAATGTGTATTTGTTAAGCTTTTAATGTGTAATCAATATATTTAATATATGAAATGTTTTTAGTTTTGAATTTTTTGATTTAATAGATTAGTTTAATAATGATATCAAAATTGTCGCTATATTTGACTTTTGAAAAAATAGAAACTAATTTAGTGAAAACAAAAACAACCGCCCATTACATGATTTTTATCCAAACACATAATAAAAATTAATTTGGTAAAATAAATAAATCAATAAATGTCTAAAAGATTTATCAATTTTATATAATTTTATCTTTAGTGGGTAGAAATAATTTTTAAAAATTTTAAAATATTTTTTTGACATTTATTTTTGTCAAATTAGTTTATAATTTATCAAATTGATAATTTTGCCCTTAAAAAATTCAATGGTATCTTTAATTATCTTTATTTGAAATAAGATTTAAAATTCAGGATCAAACGTGTTTCAATTGAAAAATTAGAGACCAAAATGACACAAGCACCAAACTATAGAAACTGTTAGTGTAATTCACCCTATAATAAAATAATTACTATTAATTATTCATTAATGTTAGATATTATAAAAGAAATACCGTAAAAAATTTCATAAAAATTCTTTAGCTTTAGATTACATGCACAATAAAATACCACACACTGAATAAATGATGATAATTTTTCATAAAATATTTCATGATATTTCTTTCCTAATAAACATTATTCTTAATTATTTAATTATTATGGACAATAGGAAGGGAAAGGAGTAGTATGAAAAATTGAATTTAAACAAATAATTGCTTAAGATATAATTTTTTTCTTCTCTTGGCCTTCATTCGGCAGTACCAAAAAAAAAAAAAAAAGTAACGAATGAAGGTTTGGAGAAGAAAATTTTCCATAGGGAAAGTAAAATACGATTATTCTTAATTATTTGGTTATTATGGACAATTACATTTTATTTTATAAAATTGATAATTTAAATTTAACTATATTTACTGTTCATTTTATAAAATAAAATGTAATTGTTCTTATATTTATAATTATTTAATGAAGTTAAGCTTTTACATAAATGACTTTTATTACGCAACTTAGGAAATAGACGATTCAAATTATCAATACAAAATTAAATTGAAACTCATGAAAAGAGAAATGTACGAAGAGATGAGGTATAAAGAATGTCGACCAATAGTAGGGAACTACAAATTTATAACCACCTTTTGCTCCATTATTTTAAGAATATATATCACAATCTTTTGCTATCTTTTTCTAACCCATACCATTTTAGAGTTAAAAGAACATTGAAATTAAGCTAAAAAATGTCCTTTTTTCTTTTTTAACATTGGCCAAATGTATCTCCAACGAGACAGAGGCTTGTTTTGAAAAGTAGGGTGTACGTGATGTGATTTAGACGGTTTGAGAGTAAAAATATAAATTAAATAACAAATTAATAGATTGATAGATTGACAAATTAAACGATTTTGGACGGATTAATGTATTGAAAAATATTCTAATCAATTATCAACCCTTTATATAATATATAATACTAACTTACATAATATTTTTATATATATATAACACAAACTACTTTTACATAATATTTTTCATATATAACTATTAATTTGTAATAAATTTCACATATTAAATTTATGTCACTCATTTTTACTTTGATATTCATTGTATGTTAAAAAATATAAATATATTAACTATAACGGAACGGATTCGATTTCAAAACGGTTTATAAATTTTAAAATTTAAACCGTAATTAGAAAGCAATTTATAAATTTTAAAGTTTAAATTGCGATTAGCTATAAAGCGATGCGGATTGATGCGAAGCGGTACAGTTTTAATGGATTTGGGCAATATTTTACACAGTCCTATTAAGAAGTACGTTAAAAGTTAATTTTTTGATTTTTTTAAAAAAAATATGTAAAAAAAATAAAGAAGTAATGTTACCAAAGAAAAAAACAAAAACCAAAAAAAAAAAAAGCCGAAACTGAGTTGCCAAAACAACCAGAGTAATCATCTTATCAGTACCAGAGTTAAGTACTCGGTCTTATTTCAAATGTGCGACTCTTTCTACACTTTTTTCATTACTTCATGAAGATCAATGAATGTCAACAACAGGATATAGATAATACCATCTCAGATGAACAGCAAGAAGATAACCCATAAACATCAATTCTTATCAACAGCCATGAAAAAAAAATTAAAAATTATTTAGTTTTACTTAATCACGCATACAACAAGAAGCTGGTACTACCTAGATCAACCATTGTTATTATTCATGTCAATCTATTCTTTACCTCTCACTACTGCATTTGAAGCCCTTTCATTCTTCATGATCATATTGAACAATGTAGCCCGATCCTCTTCCACGATCTCTCTCAAGATATCGTCTTCAATTTTCTCTGCCTGCCATTGGGATGGGTCCTCCACGTGCTCCTCGCTGAAAATCATGCTCGACACCCACCTCTTTCCATGTGGTTCTACTGTACTTCTCTTCTTCAAGAGTCCCTGTAGCCAAGAGCTGGTACACATACACCTCTTTTGCTTGACCGGGCCTAAAAGCCCGTGCAATCGCTTGCTTGCTCTTCGAAGGGTTCCACTCCGAATCTAGTAAGATCACACGCGATGCTGCAGTCAAACTAATCCCTTCAGCACAAGCAGTGATTGAAGCGAGCATCACTTTTGAGGACCCACCCGGTTCCTCAAACTTATCCATTACTCTGCCACGTTCGAAAAGTTCGAGGTCCCCTTGAAGGACCAAAACTTCATTGCCCTTCCGCCACCCATAGAATGCATCGAATATCTCTAGAAATAGATTAATCGGAGCAATGTTGTGGCAGAAGATCAGAACCTTCTCTTTCCTGATGATGCACCGAGGTATAAGGCTCATGACGAATCTCACTTTAGAACCCAACTTCAAATCGAACTTATATTTCTCAAGATCATCCAACACTTCCATGCTGAAGTATTGACTAGCACACACTGTAGTTCGGATCAACCAAGGATGTATCGAACCAAGAGTAATCAGAAGCTCCAATTCAAGTGGAAATCCTTTGTATGCAGGTCTTTGATTCTGAAGTCTTGTCAGAAGCTCTTGCTGGTACGGTGTTGATTTCATCATTAGGGTGTAACATTGTAAACCAGGAAGGTTGTCAGAGCTTCCACCTTCATGTACGTCTATAAAACCGCTCGTCAAATTCCTCAACACATTCAGACCTTGCATTCTTTCATCCACAACGCTTGAATCGATCTTCTTTGCAATTTTATCAATGAAGAACTTTCTCGCTCTGTTTTCAAGCGAAAAGCGTGTTTTTGCACCTTTCTTTCTCCTCTTGAACTTTGGGTCTAATTCCCTTAACACCTCACTAACGAAACTCGGTCTAGCCAAAGTGAGTGTGTTGAAATACTCTCCAAAATTGTTCTGAAACAATGTACCTGATAGCAAAATTCTCAGCCCTGTGTCAACCTTCATCAAAGCCTTCCTCAACCTCGATTTAGTGCTTCTCGGGTTGTGCCCCTCATCAAGTATAAGAATCCCGGGATTTTGCCGCAACACTTGGCCCATGTATTGTCTGTGAGCAAATTTCGAGTCTTCTCGTGTCAGTGTGAGAAAAGAGGTATAACCCATCAGAAGTACACTTGGTTGAGCAAGCCACTTCTGAATTTTCTCAAGGCAGTCTAAAATATGCATAACATCTTGGTTGGGTTTTGGTTCTCCAGGAGCTAATCTCAGCTTCTGCCTTAAGACTTCGCCTCTGTAGGTTCGACCACCATGGATTTGGTAAACCGGAATAGGAATTTCCCACTTAATTATTTCTTTGTACCAGGTATAGAGCGTTGTTTTCGGAGCAAGGACCAATGGGCGTGATCCAGGGAATAACTTCAAGTAGCTTACGAGGAATGCAATGATAAGCAAAGTTTTACCAGCCCCAGGAGAGTGAGAGATAACACAACCACCTCTTTTGTCGGCTGCTGGTTCCATAAGTGCCGGTACCAAAGAACCAGCAATGTTACGCCACAGAAATTCAAATGCTCTCTTTTGGTGGAAACGTAATTTTCTTTTAAGCTCAGGTATCAAGGCCCACACGTTGTCTTCCCCTCTGATAAAGGGTATTGGAGTCAGCAGGAGAGCATAAGATCAAGCCACGTTTGTCTTCATATTCTCTGAATCTTCTTCATTGCGTTGCCCTGTGTTTGGCATCGAAATCTTGGATTGCAACTACACATTAAAGAGGAAAGGACTCTTATCAAGTAGACATTCATACAAAGAATGTTCCAAAAAGAAATATCTAACAGTAGAATCACTTATTCAGGTTGTTATTAGGCTTTGTTTAGTCCAGTTTCTTGCAAGCTAAAAGCTAATAATTAGAAGCATAAGCTAAAAACGCTCATTCCATGCTTTTCAATAAACTTTTTTTAGCTTATTTAAGCTATTTCATAAGCACTGCAACAAACATTCTGACATAGATTTCCACAAAAAAAAAAAGATTTAAAGAGAGAGAGAGAGAGAGAGGCCTCATAAGGTGCACCAAATAGGGCCTTAGTTGGTCTAGTTGGGACATTCCATTTTTTGCCAGCATATTCGGCCTATGAAGCACCACTAGGATGTTTGGAACATCAGTAATCCACCTAGAAGACTTGTAAGTAGTAGGTATGTAGGAAATACTTGAATCCAAACTAGACTTACAAAGGTTGGCGTGACATCTTTTATTTCAGTGAGCACAAAGCCACATAAATGGCATAGAATTCCAATTTCTTCATTGATTTTGTATTCATGTCGGCAAACTCCTCTGTGCTTGCTTGAATTTTGTGCAAGATCGGCAGGAATTTCAACATTGGAACCCTGAAAAGTGTTCCACTAGATTAATCATCAATCAATAAACAATTCAATAGGGAAATTGTGCCAAATTTAAAGCCCCCCGTGTCATCAGTACTCTAAAAGCTCTGTTTGAAAGTTGAATAGTATGCTTTTGATTATATATTTCAGGCTTCAGCTCTAGAAATTATACTGAATAGAAACTTCTGATACAACAAATGGCAGAAACGACTATCCAAAACACCCTTACAACTTTCAGTTACAACCAAGTACATAACATCAAAACCAGTATAAGATCCTGGAAAAAAAAAATCAAAAACCATACCTCATCATCCTCAAGAAGATAAGCCGACGCCATGCAAAGTTCCATTTCCTTCCACAACATTTCAATTTCTGAGTTTTCTTCCTCGTTTATTGAGGAGGGCACATCACTGCTGTCCCTTTGGTTCGAGGATTTTGCTGCCTGGAATTCTTTCCACTTGTCAATAATTAGTGGTTGCTCTTTATTAATTGTGGATTTTATGTTCTCCATACATCTCTTTATCGTTTCCCTGTACATACTCGCACTAAAGGATCTTCTTCTATTAGTTCCTGCGTCACGGAAACTCTCCCTTTTTAAAAATATAGAAAAATTCCTTCTAATTCGGAATTTCTTACGTGAACCTTTCCAGTGAAATCTACCATCAGCCTCTGTAAAATCTAACTCAGAAGTGCTCTTTCTATGTACCCTAAGGCTACCATTTAAGTAAATATACTTGGAACCTGTTTCACCAGTATCTCCTGAATAATTCCGAGGAATCTCAGCATCAAGAGGATCCTCCACATGGACCATTTGATTAGTTTCATCAGGCACAGGAACGATAGCAAGTTGCATTTGATCTTTTCTATGATAAGTAAGTTGTGCTTGATGTTCTCTTCTATTTGATGCAACTGAATCGATCTCTCTTGATTTGATCATACTCCGGCACTCCAAAAGATTATCACAGGAATACTTCGAGTGGTCCCTTTCATCGAACTTAGAATTCTTGTCCGAATAATATGCATGATCAGCCTGGATTGAGAGTGCCAATGGCATTTCTTCATATTCCCATCTGTATGTTTTATGTGTCCCTATTCGAGTCGCATCAATATCCGACTCGGGCAAATCATCACAACCTAAGTAACGTTCAGGTTGTACATAGCGACGCTTGGATCGCCGCAAACCCATTGGATCATAAAATGAAGATGGTTCACCTTCATTCATGCCAAGATCAGTTTCCTTCTCTGGAGTAAAGGGCACAAGAATGGGGACTGAAACTTCGTTCTCTAATTTAAAATTCAAAGCTTTTGAATGGCTTTCTGGATTTGGCGAACCATCATCACAATCATCATCCAAAATCTGATAGACAATCCTGTTTTGAATCGCCCTTACATCAAAATCAATTTGCTTCAAAACGGATGCAACAAGTAGCCAAGAAATATCAGCCGAGAATTTTCCAGTAAACAATTTATATTTTTGCAGTGAAGAGCAATCCTCAGAGAATTCCCAACGGTAATGCTCATTTTCACAAGGCTTCCATTCAGGTTTTTGAAGGATGGAAATTTGATCAAGTTGCACCAAGACGGTCTCTTTACTGAGGGTTTTCTTTGCCATATCAAGAGGACCTTGTGTAACATAAAAGCTAACATAAAATTGGCAAGTACATTTAGGTTCATGAGGCTTCCTCTCGATAGAATTTATTTTAGCATCCACCCAGATCTACATCAGAAAAACGTAGAAGATAATAATCTTGCAATATGACATATACACTTGTCAAAGCAAGCCAATTTATACAGAGGCAAACATGTATGTCTAAACTAAACAAACCAAGTATTTCATGAAGAAATAACTTGACTAAGAACAGGTTGAGCATGGAAGGAGAATCAAAGAGATGACCAGCGAAAGTAGGCTAAAAAACAAAATCACTTGTCTTGTGTATTGCAATAATGAGGGAATCTTAAAAAATTTAGACATATTTGGTCAATTGCAATACTTGTGTCACTATCTCCCTGTGCTAGCATGAGTTATTTTATGGGGCAAAGAAGTACAAAAATGGGTGCAAGTAGTGTATTAGGTAACACCGCAGCACCAGAATCTGTATATTGTCCAAAAAAACAAGGCATGGAATGGTCCATATGGTACGATTACAGCAAAACAAAATCTACAAAAGAGTATCAAATTAGTAAACTAGAACATAGAAACTTCAAATTCATCAAAGATATGATGTAAAGGGACAGAAATTGCGAGCACTCATGCATAATCAAGGCAATAGTATAAATTGTAAACTATTGCATGCCCAACCAGAAGGAATGGCACTCACTAGAAGTGCCGATTCATGCAAGCAAACAGACCCCTATTATGCAAACTATTAACCTAGGCATTTCCAGACACAAGAAAGATTTATCAAATCTGAAGACGTTAAAAGAGTAAAATAAGTGGGATTGTATATTTGCTGCAACATATTACTTAAACTACCACAACATAATGCACAGACATCAAATATCAACTCACTAACAGTAACAGTGTGATGTGAACTATGTTGTGATCAAACTTTACAATGTTACAAAGCACAGAATTTAGCAGCTCCAGGCAAAAATAAATGGGGACTTACTGGATCCTGATTTTCATCATCACTTGAATCTTCAGTACCTTGAGGGGTCGATAGCACACAAATATCAAGTCCAGGCCTTAGAAAGCAGGTGCAATCTGACAAAGTGGCTTTTCTTGATCTTATTCGCAAGTTGGAGATGGGAACATTTTCTTCAATCAAATCTCCATAATCAAACAAAAGCATGGTTATGACCCCATTCCTAATTTGTAAGCGCTCCACAGTTTTCCATGAGCCAAAGTAATATGCCTCAAAAGCTGTCAGATGGCATATCAATAATGCCATTAGAACAACAGGGCAGAAGCATTCCAGTATTAAATTATGGGGCAAAATATTTACTGGCAGTTGGAAGTCACAAGAATAATCCATTTAGTTATGCCTAGTGGTTAAAAATCTATTTTTCCGTGTCAAAAAAAAAAAAAATTGAATGGATCCATATGTGTTTCTTGGCACCAAATGATATTGAGTAATTTCTCAAAAAATTGAGACATAACCTACATTCTATGCTCTAACATCACTTCATCATTCAATTTCAAAATACCCCACCACTGAATCTTACAAATAAAACACAAAACACGTTTAAATTAACCTAAGACATAAGTGAAAAGCTATAAATAAATAAAAAATTAAAAAATCAAATTGGTCAATCCAGTGGTCTGACCATGTCCCAACAGGAACTTACCAAGTAATTCTGTTTGGCTCAATTTATAAACCATATTTTATTGAGAATCACTTCATCTGATGACCAGCCAGTTTTGATGATCTTTTTAAGAACTAGTTACAGTTACAGATAGTACCTAGGAAAAAGATTTTCAGTAATTCAACATCACGATCGCTTAAACAGCATGCTTCAAGGTGACGTGCATTTTCTTGGACATATAAAAGAACTCCACTAATTACAGGGTCAGTAAAATATTCTAACAAATCAAATACTGTATACAAAAAATGCATATACCTTAAAATTTTGTGCAAGTTATTGGGTATAAGTCTATGGCTCTTTGTTACACAATACTCTACAACCTCAACGCCATAATTTTAGTTTTCTGGCTTGACTGATCAAGAAATTTCAAGATTTATTGAGTAATTCGATATACAATTGGTTTAAACAGGTCAATTCAAGTAAGTTTGGCACGTCATCACAATGTCAAATTTAGGTAGCGCTGACTGCTGAGTCATGAAAAGTAAATTTATCAAGGGTTTATACGTTATACTAGGGCTAATTCCTAATTACTTCAAAAATCAACAAAGTAATCAATAGAGCTTGGATTGACCTGTTTAAATGGTAATGTTGATAAAAAAAAAGGGAAAACGAGTAAAAAGAGGAGGCAGCGAGTTCATGCTTACGGCTTGCATCGAATGGATGCGTGCTTTGATGTATGTTCCTTCTCTTCATGACCGCTTAACAAATGACCTCAATCGTCCCTACAATCCCAGCAAAACATCCAGAATAAAGTTCTGCACATGCAATTATTTTCATAGCAGTTGGCAATTCATGCTATAAATGTGATAATTATAACAATGGTGATGGTAACAACAATAATCAATAAACAAAAGGCCAAAAAGGTATAGGCTGAATGGTGTATAATTATCTTCTTTTCACTTGGAGCCCACTGCTGCCATTCACGGGCCCTTAATCATCCACATGGATCATAACCTAAATTTTTAGGCAATTCTGCACTGAACACGCAAATTTATTTCTATGACACAAATCTGAAAAAATTCGAACTATATTTATGGCAAAAATCTGTAAAAAAATTTAAAACCAACATGATGCACAGCATACAGCCTAATCCAACAGAGAAGACTCATCTCACTCACTCTCCTGACTCTATTTCCCTGCTAACAAACAGACCAAAAGCTTAAATTACCAATAATAATCATGTGTACACCGCAATCACATTTTATCATTTTGGTATAAATGACATGACTTTACTAGCTAACAAGAATTTCCCAGAAACCCCATGTTGCCAAATCAATCCTTCTTCCTAAAAATCGAGAGAGAGAGAGAGAGAGAGAGAGTTAACCATAGCGGGCTCTGCAAAAATGTATGCATATTTTTCTGAACATAATAATCAACAAAAATCCATGATAATAAAAATAATAATAATAATTTACTTCAAATAGCAAACACCAAAATCCCCAAAAAAGGAAAGGGAAAGTTGAAATGAGTAAAAAAAAATGAAGACGAACTTACCAAATTGAGGTAGCAAAAGTGAAATGAGTAAAAAAATGAAGATGAATTTACCAAATTGAGGTAGCGAAAGTCAAAAGCTAGCACGATCACGCAAAGTTGGAGTGAAATTTACCTGGAAAAAGGAAATGATAGAAAACAAATAGACTAAAAATCAGAGAAAATTTATAAAAAAAAAAAAAAAACAAGAATCGGAACACATACACACAGTTGAAATTGAGTGTTTACTAGTAGAAATGCATCGGAAAAAAGACTCAAAAAAATTTACAAATAAGTGGTAAACTTTACACATTAATAATTAAACACAAGCTTTTCCATGATTTTGTAATATATTTTCCATCGTACCACTGATGGCTAATTTCCCCTATCAATAATGACATTAGAACAACAGAGCTGAATCATTCCAGTATTAAATTATGGGGAAAAATATTTACTGGCACTTGGAAGTCACAAGAATAATCCATTTAGTAATGCCTAGAGGTTAAAAATCTATTTTCATGTCCAAAAAAAAAAAAAAAAAATTGAATATATATGTGTTTCTTGGCACCAAATGATATCGAGTAATTTCGATGTTCTAACATCACTTTATCATTCAATTTCAAGATAACCCATCACTGAATCTTACAAATAAAACACAAAACAATTAAAGATGTTGAAATTAACCTAAATGTTGTGATTGCTTAAACAGCATGCTTCAAGGTGACACGTGCATTTTCTTGGACATACAAAAGAACTCCACTAATTACAGGGTCAGTAAAATATTCTAACAAATCAAATACTGTATACAAAAAATGCATAGACCATAAAATTGTGAGCAAGTTATTGGGTATAAATATATGGCTCTTTGTTAAACAATACTCTAAAGCCATAAGTTCAGTTTTCTGGCCTGACTGATAAAGAAATTTTAAGATTTGTTGACTGATTCGATTTGTATACAATTGGTTTAAACAGGTCAATTCAAGTAGTTTGGCACGTTTGTTGCAAAATCAAATTCAGGCAGTGCTGACTACTGAGTCATGAAAAGTAAAATTTATCAAGGGTTTATACTTTATATAGGGCTAATTCCTAATTACTTCAAAAATCAACAAAGTAATCAATAGAGCTTGGATCGACCTGTTTAAATGGTAATGTCGATAAGAAAAAGGGAAAACGAGTAAAAAGAGGAGGCAGGGAGTTCATGCTTACGGCTTGCATCAAATGGATGCGTGCTTCGATGTATATTCCTTCTCTTCATGTCTGCTTAGCAAGTGGCCTCAATAGTCCCTACACTCCCAGCAAAACATTCGGTATAAAGTTCTGTACCTTCAATACTTTCATAGAAGTTGGTAATTCAGGCTACATGTAATAATTATAACAATGGTGATGGAAAAAACAATCAACAAACCAAAAGGCCAAAAGGGTGTCGGCCGAATGGTGTATAATTATCTTCTTTTCACTTGGAGCACTACCGCCATTCCCGGGTACTTAAGCATCCACATCGATCATATATCTAACCAAAATTTTTAGGCGATTCTGCACTGAACATGCAAATTTATTTCTATGACACAAATCTTAAAAAATTCAAACTATATTTATGGCGTGAATCTGTAAAAAAATTTAAAACCAACATGATGCACAACATACAGCCTAATCCAACAGAGAAGACTCATCTCATTCACTCACTCTCCTGACTCTGTTTCCCAGCTAACAAACAGACCAAAAGCTTACATTACCAATAATCATGTGTACACCCAGTCACATTTTATCATTTTGGTATTAAAAAACCAAGACTTTACCAGCTAACAAGAATTTCCCAGAACCCCATGTCTCCAAATCAATCCTTTTTTCTAAAAATCAAGAGAGCGAGAGAGAGAGAAAGAGAAGAACATAACCATAGCTGGCTCTGCAAAAATGTATCCATATTTTTCTGAACATAATATTCAACAAAAATCCATGATAATCAAAATGAATAAATAATTAATAATTTACTTGAGGCATCAAACAACCAAAATCCTCATAAAAAGGAAATGAAAAGGGCGGGGAGAGGGGAAATGCTGAAATGAGTAAAAAAATGAAGACGAACTTAGAGCATCTCCAATGGCAAGCTATTGGAGCTGCCATTGTCAAAATTTGACGAGGGTCTCCCAAAATCTTGCTCCAGTGAGCTGCTATAACCCTGCCAAATTTGGCAATTGTCAAACTTGCTACATCATCCAAGTAAACAGAATTTGGCTTCAAAATTTCCATGGAACAAATAAACACAGTGGGGAAAATCCAGCAACAACACAATAATATAAAAATAAATAAATTTGCCATTACAATAGATTTTTGGAGAAATTATTACCATAACACTAACAAACAAATAAAAATATATTTTAAAAAAAACTAATAAATTCAAGGAATCTCACCCTTGAAAGATCATACGTAGAATTCATCATCCCTCTCCTTCCATTGTCGTCATCAGAGAAGGTTGATTAAGGTTTGAGTTTGGGTTTTGGCGGGTTTCAATTAGAGAGGGTGAAGCAGAGATTGAGAGAGAGAGAGAGGGTGAGGCAGAGAGGGAGACGAGTACAACCACCCTTCGGAGCAAAACAACGCTCTTTGGTGCGCGATCAGGAGACCGAATTTTGGTGGGATGAGGTGATTGATTGAGGAGACGGCAGCAAACGACAGCGGATTTTGGTGGGATGAGGCTGTTGATGAAGTAGGGTTAGAGAAGTTGGAGGAAGACGAAGGAGGTTGAGAGAGAGAGAGAGAGAGAGAGGCGTTGGGGTGAAATTTACCTGGAAAATGGAAATGATAGAAAACAAACAGATCAAGAATCAAAGAAAATCGAAGAAAACGAGAATCAGAACACACACACACACAGAGATAGTTGAAATTGAGCGTTTACTAGTAGAAATGCATCGGAGACAGGACTCAACAAAAAAAAAAAAACAAAACAAAACAAAAAGCAAAAAGGTGCGGCGGAGAAATCTATGGAGGACTGACAGGAGATTCTTGGGAGTCGTATTGAATTGATTTTTAGGAAAAGCTTTTTCTGCATGAGGACGAGAGGGCACTGGAAAAAAGGTTAAGAGCACGGAGCACACAGCACTGTGAAAGCAGAGCAGAGAGAGTACGGTTGTTGTTGGGTCACGCAATAAAAAGGAAAGACAAAAGTAATAAATTGAGGAGAATCGGAAGGGTAGTTTTGGGACTGAAATTAATGCACCCACTAGTCTGTGTATTGTAGGGTTGTTATTGGCTTAAAATCTCACCGTTGGATTAGGAGAGTTGGTGTTATGGATTAGTGCCATGTAACCGAAAATCTGCATTTACCGATCTACCTGTTTATACAAATACCGGCCTATCACCCGTATTATCACAGCATAATTATAAATATTTATATTTATTTTAGATTTTTTTATTATATAAATTTTGTTTTTTAAAGTTTTTTATAAAAATAATTTAATAATTTTATCATTAATCATAATGTATAGGAAAAGTAACTATACACAGATTATATTTATAATTATTTGTATGAGGGAATTTTAAATGATGAAAAGATGATTTTTTTACCAAATCAATAAATGCAGGCATGTGAAAAGACATGTGGATTGAAAAAAATTAATAAATGTTGATCAGGAAATTTTAACCAGGCATGTGAAAAGACATGTGGATTGAAAAAAATTAATAAATGTTGATCAGGAAATTTTAACCAAACAATAAATGCTGAAATTTTTTTTTAAATAAAAAATTTAGAAAATTCAGATTGAGATATTGAAGCTCCCACAAGCCTTGGGGGTTAAAAACCCCCTTTTTAAATGTCTTCTTTTTTTTTTATTTTAGATTTTTTTAATATATAAATTATGTTTTTTAAGATTTTTTATAAAAATAATTTAACAATCTTATCACTAACCATAGTGTATAGGAAAAGTTGAAAAGGGTACTGCAGTAACTATACACGGATTGTATCTATAATTATTTGAATGAGGAGATTTTAAATGCTGATTAGGGATTTTGACCAAATCAATAAATGCAGGCATGTGGAAAGACGTGTGAATTGAAAAACGTTAATAAATGTTGATCAGGAGATTTTGACCAAATCAATAAATGCTGAGTTTTTTTTTTTTAATAAGAAATTCAGAAAATTCATTACTTTACATATACACTAGTGTAATCCGTGCTATTATGCACAACGATTTTATAAATTAAAAAAATTCTTATAATTATTTTAAAATAATTTAATATTTTGTCTTGTGATATACATAAAATTTATAAGTTAATTTTTATATTTATAAATTTTTAAATTATTAGTTTTAAAAAATTAAAATATATATTAGTCTAATTAGTGTAATTTTGATAATTTGTATTAAAAAAAGTTAAATCTAATTAAATGAGTTATTACATACATTTTCTTTTTATGAAAATATACAAATTTAAAAGTTATAATTAAAACAAATATATAATTTTATTATTAAATATGAAGTGAAGTGATATTTAACAATAATTAATATGATATTTTTATTATTAATCCAATAATTTAAGTTACATTTCTTTTGATTTCAATTTTATGACTAAAAATACAATATAAATATAATACATACACGGATTTTAAGTCTTTATGAATAAGAAAGTTTTAAAATATTTTCAAACTTTCATCATTTTCGTTTCTTTTCTTTTCGTTTTTATCTAATTTGATTTTAAATTTGAATAAAATTTTGATTTGATATGAATTACATTAACTTTTTCATTAAATTTTTATCAATTTTTAAAAGAATTTTCATTCTTATCCCAATTTTTTTTCTTTTCACCAATTTTGATGGAAAAACAATAATTTTCAACGTTTCATCTTTTTAAATTTTTATCAAATTATAATTTGATAAAAAAAAATATATTAAGGGTTGAAAATTCTCTTAATTAAAATTATAGTGAAATAACATCTTGAAATAATCAAAGTTTGAGTATGTGGTTGGTTAAAATGTATAATTTAATTAATTCTCTTCTTATATTCGTATAAAAATTGACACTTATGACTATATCATTATAAGTTGGATTATGAAAAAAAAATTTGGGATGTCAAACATTTTCCATTTGTAAATATCCTACATATTAAAAAATGAAAAAATGAAAAAAAATATGTGTAACTTTTTTTATATGTGTTTATCAGTTCTGTTTTATGAACATAAATAATTGATGTTTCAATTTAAAAAATTAAAAAGTAAAAAAAAAAATAGGTTTTTTAGAGATAAAGAAACCATTTAACTCTTCTATATACTATTAAGATGGACTATTTTAATCACATAAAAAAATAAAAATTATATTTAGAGATTATCTCTATATATTATGCTATTATATACAACTTTCATTTTCAATTAATTGAATTATAATTAAAAAAACTAACAAATAGCAGCAATGGTCTAATGGGATAGAAAGAGGATAAAAATAAAGAATACAATAATATTTAAAAGTTTTAAATTTACCTAGTTATAAAAAAATCTAATGTTATAGTAAAATTTTGAATTCTCAATAGATTCACATTTTTTATAAAATAAAAAATTTGATGCCCATTTTTTTTTATTTCAATTTTATGGTCTTCATTGAAGAAAACAAAATCCGATCAAAATTCTTAGTATGGAATGGACATAAATACTTCGATTGCAATCATAATCACCAATAATTCTTCTCTACCATGCAAACCTGTAAACAAACATAAGATTTGAAAATTGATTAATTTGTCTCATTAGGTGATTTAAAATTTTGACATATACATAAGAAACATAGATATTATATTACTAAATCATAATTCAAATTTAGATATTGTCATATTTTTTTTTTTGATCCATATCTAAATTCTTATCTTTTTTATTTTTATGTGGTTTCTATTCGGGTTTTTTTTTCTTCAATTTATTTAAGATGGGGTTGTGGGGTTCTATTTTTTTTTAATTTAATTTATTTGTGGTTTCTATTTGTTTTTAATTATTATTATTTAGGTAAGTTATGATGTGAGTTAGATATGTGATAGACATGTAAGTTTTATTAATTTAAAGTATAATGGTGGGAGATATTTTCAAATTAAATTTGTTTAGATAAACTTTAAATATTTTTAAAATTTAAAATTGGATATTGAGATGCAAAAGAAAGATTTTAACTGAATAAATAAAAAACAAATTTATTAATTTTATCTATTTGTATATCTGATTTTGGTTTTTTTTTTATGTTATAATATAATATCTAAGACATAGATAGATATCTGCAACTTTTATAAAAAATATTATCTGCTTTTTTTGGGAAGAGAGAAGGAAGACAAGTTTTAATATAATTTTTTTTTTTAAATCGGTGAAAGAGATTAGGATGGTGAGATTATGAAATATTTTTGTTATTAAATAAATAAATCAGTCAATAGTTTTTTTAATTTATTTTATAAATTAAAAAGTCAATAATTTTAGAAAATTAATTAATTTGTTTCAGTAAGTGATTTAAAATTTTGATAGATATCTATCAAAAAAATAGATAATTATATTAGTAAATCATAATTTAAATTTAGATATTGTTATATCTTTTTGAGATCCACAGCTAAATTCTTATCTTCTTTATTTTTGTGTGTAACCATAATGTATAAGAAAAATCGAAAAGAGTGCTACAATAATTATAAGAGAAGTCAAAAAGGTTTGTGGATTAAGAGAAGTCAATAAATGCTGAGATTTTTTTTTAAATTAAAAAATTATGATTAAGATATTGGAACTTCCACAAAACTTGTAGATTAGAAACCACTTTTCCTTATATAATACTAGCATATCACCCATGCTATGCACGGATTGTGTTTACAATTATCTATATATGTAAATTGCGATTTTTAAATGTCTTTTTTTTTTAAATGGCTTCTTTTTTTCCTTTTTTTATATATTATATTAAAATTTAATATTTTGATAATAATTATATGCGTTAGACTATTTATTATATTATATTAAAGTTTAATATTTTGATAATAATCATATATATTGGACTTTTCAAGAAATTTTTTTTATGCTTGTTCTTAATACATTAAATTGTTATTATGAGAGATAATAATTATATGTGTTGGGACTTTTCAAGGAATTCATATGTGTTGGATTTCAAAGAATTTTTTTATGCTTGTTCTTAATGCATTAAAGTGTTATTATGATGGGTAAGACTTGGGGATTGGGAGAAGTTAATAAATGCTAAGAATTTTTTTTTTAAAATCAAAAAATCAGGAAATTTAGATTGAGAGATTAGAGCTCCCACAAGGCTTGAGGTTAAAAACCTCCTTTTGCTTAATATATAATATAGACTAGCCTATCACCCGTGCTATGAATGGAATATTTATAAATATTTATATTTATTTTAGATTTTTTTAATATATAAGTTATGTTTTTTAAGATTTTTTATAAAAATAATTTAACAATTTTATCACTATGTACCATAATGTATGGGAGAAGTTGAAAAAAGTACTGCAGTAACTATGCACAGATTGTATCTATAATTATTTGTATGAGAGGATTTTAAATGCTGATGAGGGGATTTTGGCCAAAACAATAAATGCAGGCATGTGGAAAGACATGTGGATTGAAAAAAGTTAATAAATGTTGATCATGGGATTTTGATCAAATCAATAAATGCTGAGTTTTTTTGTTAAAATAAAAAATTTAGAAAATTCAGATTGAGATATTGGAGCTCCCATAGGATTTGGTAGTTAGAAACACCATTTTCCTTAATATATACTAGCATATTACCCGTGCTATGCACGGATTGTCTTTACAATTATCTATATATGTGAATTGTGATTTTTAATTTTTTTTTAAATGTCTTCTTTTCTTTCTTTTTTATATTATATTAAAATTTAATATTTTAATAATAATCATATGTGTTTGACTTTTTAAAGAATTAAATGTCTTCTTTTTTTAGTATATTATATTTAAAATTTAAAATTTTGATAATAATTATATGTGTTGGACTTTTTAAGAATTTTTTTTTATACTTGTTCTTAATGTATTAAAGTGTTATTATAAGGGATAGTAATCATATGTGTTGGGACTTTTTAAGGAATTCATGTGTTGGATTTCAAAGAATTATTTTTATGCTTGTTGTTAATGCATTAAAGGGTTATTATGATAGTAAGACTTGAGAGTTGGGAGAAGTTAA